TCTATCACTCTCTCAAAATATCACTCTTACCATCCGCGTGGGCTTGACGTTCTTTAATTATCATCAACAACAATTTGAATTTGATTAATCAACTAAAATCGTGGCGAGAACGCTTAATTACCGAAATAATTATGTCATGATTCAGGTCACTGTTGGTCGAGTTTATTTTTATTGCTTTCATATATCACGAGACCTATGGGGCTTTTTGGTAATGCGGGGTCGTTTGACGACAGGCCTCGTTCATAAAAAAAAAACGAGAGCATTATAGAAACTAACCGGCATTAGAATTTTAGATTTAATTACTACAACAAATAAAAGCATTTTAATAGTCATAAACACTGCCGATTACTAATAAATCCAATTTCATCTTGTCTCCGACGATTCTTCGTGGGACCGGTGGATTTTTCTCATGTATTTAATTTAATTTTAAAAATTACGAGATTTACTGACAAATGTACATTTAAAATTTAATTGCTGTATAATAATGTTATAGTGAGCAGAAAACGTATGTTAAACAAAACAAAAAACGATTTATTGAAAATTAATAAAACAAATAAACAAAGAGACCCTTTCTAAGAATAACCTTCGCGAATAATTCATCACGAGTTTTATATGTGCCAACTTCATCAGGTACGTCTTCATGAGAACATTAAGATGAACGGTAGACAATAGTTCACCGATGATGATAGGCCATTCCGTACCTGTCGGGAGTTCTCACGCCGAGTTACGCCTAGCTCGGAGACTTGGTGTTGAGCGGAGCGTTTAGCGATTTAATTATCACAACGATATTATGTATTACTTTACGCCATGCATAATTAACTTACAGCCTTTTACTATATGATTCCATGTCCAAAAAATTGTTGGTTAATTTTACCATATATATTCTTATACAAGGATTGGCTCTATCTATGAAGTATTTTTCAAAGGGTTACCCCAAGAGCAGTAATTAAAACTAATCTAAATCCTTTGATTGTTATTACCGTAAGAGAATAATAGATTAGAACTTTATTTAGTATTGTAGTCGTTAAGATTTTGATATCTAAAATGAATATAATTAATTTTCATTAGCACGATTTATTAAGATAACAAAGGGATAAGCTTACTGATAATGGATAATTGAAAATCGAATTTAAAAAGTAAAGGATCAATCAAAAATAATATATATCGCTAACTCCTTTGTCGCAAGCAGCTTCTCAAAACAAAAATGACGGCCAGAGGCGATGCGTGCGGGTAGTAGCTCATCGCCGTGATCGTTTTGACCTATATCTATATTTATTCTACAGTTAGTTGGTAATAAACTGTAATCACGTGTAATCAGGCAATATCTAGATTTAGACTTGGCCGTTGTAGGTCATATAATGCAATGACGACCTTTCAATTTGGACTCTTATATTTCGTATACATTTTATTTAAATAATTCAAAATTTTGTAAGCCTTAAACGGAGTCACTTTAACGAATTGCTTTGATAAAATACCCAGAAAAATAGGCTCCAAAACTTCTGAACTGATTTTAAAAAATCTTTCATGTATTAAAAATGAATTATAATTTACGCGGGCGTAGTCGCAGGAAAACAGCTAGTTTTGTAACAAATGTGACATTACTGATGTTTTCAAAATGATATAATTTCTAAAAAATATTATGACTTTCAAATTGAATAAATCTCATAAAAGTGGTCGGTGATTTATATAAGCACTAATTGACGAATTATATAATTAGATAATTTATCAAAATATGAGATCCCTTTTATTTTTTTCTCATAGAAATGTAAGGATATTCTTTAATAGCTACCTTCTTACCAAACGTAAGATTTGTAAAGGATCACATTTACTATATAGTAACCTTAAACTTGATCCTCAATTTATCATAAAAAACAAACGAGATTAGGTACGCGTCCAATAACATGAATGATTTACAGCTCTGTGACAGATATAAATATGTTATATGAACGGATAGAGTCCAAAATATCATAGTGTATAGGTAAAAGTTGAATGGGAACCGTGGGAAAGATTTCGCTGCCCACGCGCCGGCCGCATAAAATTCCATGGGCGTTTGTCATTGTTGCAGCGCTTTTTAGAGTGATTATGGAAATTCTGGTGAAACTGACCTGATCTGTGATGCTGTCATAGATCAGTTTTCTTCGAAAGTCAATTTAGCATGACGGTATTTTATTATTATTGTGTTCAAGTTTGTGTCGTCACCGATAAATTAGCTAACGTATTTACATACATCTAATGAAACAATAAAAAAAACATTCTTAAAAGACACTTCAAAAATATTCTAAATTCTGCGAAATATATTTGAGAAGAAAGACAGTGATGCAGAGTTCTATGGGTTGGGATACGTATAATTTATTTTTTAAAAGTTCAGTGAATTCCGAACTGCTCACATATTTTTTTTTTAGTAAACATAATATAAACATGGCCACGAGTCTGCAGACAATCGTAAACAAATTAAAATGTGTGAATTAATTATGACACATATACGAGAGATAATTGGAATTTAAATATATTACGAAATATATAAGTAAATTCATAAATAGCCAATTATAAATGTTAGGCGATATAACTATTTACATTTCAATATATTAGAGTACGCGTTTAAGTCATTTGATGATTGCTAAGAAATATATGCTCTAAGGTAATAAATGAGAATGGTAAGATTCAAATCAAGCATGATTTAAAGAATTTACTTAATTTAAGTAAAATAATTCATTATATATGTACTTACTTTTTAAGAAAAATATCTTAATGATCGCATACAGATTGTAACAATTTTAGTAGGTTTGGTAGATTGTAACATCCAGCTAAATCACATTCCAAAAAAAATACGTAAAAGAATATACATTTATTATAACAAAATACTCATAAAACTGCTCGTCTTTTGAAATTTACATTCAAGACAATTCAAGATAACATACGAGAAGTTTCAGTATCACAGATCTTTGTTCGCGAAGGTACATCATACACTGCAAACTGTTGAAATTTCATGTTAATAGTATTTTTTTTCTCTTTATCAGGAATAGTTAACAACTACGCATTGTTTATTATTCTTTGATAAGCTACACATCATCAATCATGGGGAACAAGCCTTTGAATTGCATATTTTAGGATTTCATTTTTTGGTGGTCACATTGTATGATAATGTTTTGATTTGACTGAAACTCTTTTCATGCTGACCTGAATCAAAAGAAAAATGACCCAATAGCTCATTAACATTCAATGGGGGTCAACTAATAAGTCATCATATTATTCTATCACAATTTATATGATTATATACCTATATTAATATAACCTATCAATGAAAAATAAACAAACCTTTCCTATGAATGAAAATATAAAGTGAAAAACAGCTATAATATATTTCTACATGTATGTTAGTTCGCAGCATAAGCCTAAAAGGAATTTGTGGATTAATATGAGTATATAGAAAGTATAATTTTAAGTTACCAAATACCCAGTTGTTGCGATAAACTTTTCAATTAAAAAGAAACAATTAATGGAAAAGTGAAATGACAATTTTGTAACCTAAACTAGAAATAAAATTAAATCAATACATCGACTGTTGAAATTTATATGGAATTTGTCAAAGTTAAATAAGGAAATAATTTTGTGTAAACTGCCAAGTTGAGCCAAAACTTTGGGTATAAATTTGACGGAACTGGCTGTGTGAAATTCTGAACTATAATTAAATAGAAGTTAGCATACTTTTCCGTATTTGATTCTGAACTTGCAATTCAAAAAAATTAACCAACTTAAGTTTAAATTTAATAAATTACTATCGCCACAATGATGTTGTCAACCGGTTCACGATAAATTTTATTATAGAAAAAATGGGGAAAAAAATGTGCAAAATGTCGGACATTCTCACAACTTATGCTATTACTTCGCTCATTTTCATAAATCTAGTCAAGTCACGTACATACATCCACTCCACTCAATTAGAGGGCATGCATATTTTATCTGTAACGCTCGATCCGCGCCCATAAGGAAGACAAACTTATCTCAAATTTCTAATCTAGTGACTCACATACATGCGTTCGCAAAATTATCTCCGTTTACTTGGAAATTCTGCGGTCCAAATACGGTGCAGAGTGAGCGCGCCACAATGGACAGTTACGACCTTTGCCAACGGACGAGTGACACAATGTCTAAGTTGAAATACGCAAAGTGTGCCCCGAGGACGTTTCTAGGTAAACAGCGGACTACCGAGCCATAAATATTATCTGTGGGTGTCGAAAATGACTTTAATGTCGTTGACATGAACGCTATTATGAATTCAATGTACCAATCACATATACTATATGACGATAATAACAAGAAATTCTCAGTTTTAATTACAAAGCAATATAATTGTAATATTTAAACCAAATCTTTGCAAAGAAAACATGGCAGCGGCATGCGAAGCGATAAACGCAAATTGCAACACAAAAATATTGTATAATTCCAAATAATGTGACAGATCGTTATTTACTGTTGAAAGTGTACCGACCACACGATGCAATCGAGAGAAACTGTAGCACAATCACATATTTTACGCTTTTGTACGAATTTAATTGGGTAAGAAGAGACCCGAGTCTGCTCTCAGCGGGGTAACTTCCAAATTTATTAAAAAAAACCGCGAAAGACCCCCATTACTTACGTCAAGAGACGCAACAGAATTCATACCGGACTTACTTAAGCAATATTAAGTGTGAGATACAGCCTTATTCGTATTGACCCAGATTTTAATACGCCTCGCAGTGGTCTTTATGATGACTTTTTGAAAAATGTAATTTTTAATTTCCGAGAGGGACGGCTCGAAAATAGCAGGCCCCAAATGATTCTCTTTAACTGTATCGCTTATAAATTGCTATTTCTTATGGGACGCCGACGGAAGTCTGTCGATATTTTACCCAAAATTAATTCAGATCGTAAGGACCGTCGTAATCTTTTTTTTGCGTAAACCGTCTGCCCTTTTTAATATACGTTTATTAAGATCGCAAATTTCTCATTTGTTCCAGTCGTTCTTCGGGCGTACGTACAACAACCTCTCCTCGATATCGGAATGCAAGAACAACGGGGAATGCGTCATCAACAAGAAGAACAGAACAGCATGCAAAGCATGCAGACTCAGGAAATGCCTCTTAGTTGGTATGTCAAAATCTGGCTCCAGATACGGGAGGCGATCGAACTGGTTCAAAATTCATTGTCTTCTACAAGAACAGCAACAGCAACATATACAACAGTTACAAACAAGTAAATCACCACCTAGTTTCAATTCTTCAATCAATTCGTCATTTTTGCCAACAAATCTCTTACCTGCTGCTGCGTTGGCAGAATACTACAAAAATTCTGAAAAGACCCATTTCACTGAAGATGTGACACGGCAAAGTGTATCGCCTTCAGATTCTGGGGCATCGTCTGCGGATCCCGAGGATGACAACAGTTCCAGAAGTACTAGTGGCTTAAGCATCTTCCGACCGGCGTCATCTCCTTGTAGCGAGAAAGACGTGAGATTACAAGCTATTAGAAATCAAACTAAAGATGTCAGAAAACGAAAGCCTTCTACTCTGCCTCCTACACCATTTGGTGCAATGACAGCAACACCAAGTTATTCACCAAGAACGACACCCTATATACCTACACCCATGCATAACATGAGGCAAGTACCACCAGGCTTAGCCACTTGGCAGAATCGTAACGGAGGGGATTTGCTCTTACACTCTCCAGCAGTGGCTGGAATTGCAGTAGAACAAGATCAACCGATTGATCTGTCTATAAAATCAACTGCAGTTTTGTTCAGGAGTCCAAAAAATGACGATATCAGTGACTCAGAGCCAGAGCTTAGTATCGATTTAAGTGAAGATAATAGTAAAGATATTATGAAGAATCCTCTGGATTTATCTCTTGTCCCTAAACGATCAGAAGAAGTGCCAATGACTGGTTGAACTATATTTTTATTATTCAAAGTATACCGTGAGTCAATTAAGCCATGTGTCTCGTTCTATTTATATGTAAATATTGTAATATTAAAAAGACGAGTTTATAAACACTTTGCCATACAGTATTTAAGTAATGCGTTCATTCCTTCTTTCTTGATTACCTGATGTAACTACCATAAATTTAATTGTTTTTCTTTGTATAGTAGAATAATGAAGAGTCAATTGTTTGTAATATAGTCTAATAGATATATTATCTACCAGAGGTAATTCAGTGTTGAACAATTAATACGAGGGTCAAACTGAAAGTTCTTAGAAAATCAAAAACTGATTACATTAGCCAGTTATTAGTTTTATTATATCTTTTCAAAATATTGTCCATTCACGTCAATACACCGCTGCATGCGATGGAACCACTGGGAAAAGCACTTTGCCCACTCGTCCTTAGGGGTCTCTTCAATGGCATCGCGATACGCAGCCACCGCTTCTTCAGCATTCATAAACCGCTTTCCTTTAAGTTTTTCTTTAATTTTTGGAAATAAATAAAAATCACAAGGCGCGAGGTCGGGGCTAAACGGCGGGTGACCCAGTAATTCAACGTTTGATGTCGCCAAATAGTCGATCGTTCGCTTGGCGGTGTGCGACGAGGCGTTGTCGTGGTGAAGGAGGATCCTACTGCGAGGTCGTTTCTCTCGAACTTTTTCCAAGACAAGTGGCAAACAATTGGTAGTGTACCATTCTGCAGAAACTGTTTTTTGATCCTCTAACACAATTGTTGCAAAATGACCTATCCTTCCAAAGAACGAGGCCACCATTTTTTTTCCCGCACTTCGATCTCTCTTCACTTTAGTTGGCAACTCCTCGAAAGGAAACACCCACTGAGCAGATTGTCTTTTGGTTTTAGGATCATAACAGTAAATCCAGCTTTCGTCACCTGTTAGTATGTCGAACACAGCATTTGAGTCACCTCCGTTAAATCTTTCAATCATTTTACGACACCAATCCACACGATGGAGTTTTTGAGCCTCAGTCAAATTATGAGGTATCCACCGGGCGCAAAGCTTCCTGACCGCTAAATGTTCGTGGAGGATTTTGTGCACTTGACTCATACCGATGCCTAAGTTTGTCCGAATCTGTTGATAGGTCACTCTTTTGTCAGTCTCTATCATACGCCGCACAACACAGATGTTATCTTCAGTCGTCGCCGTAGAAGGCCGTCCCTCACGTAAATCATCAGTGAGATTAGTGCGACCACGTTTAAACTCATTAAACCAGTTGTAAACAGTCGCACGAGATGGGGCTTCATCGTGAAAGGCCAATCGTAGTCTATCATAACTTTCTTGTTGACTTAAATGACATCGAAAGTCATAAAAAATCATTGCACGAAAATTTTCTCGTGTTAAATTCATGATGACGTGACACAGACAATTTTCAATTTGCCGCCAAATCGTAAAACAAATGACAAATGAATGAAATATATACTCAGTAATATTGGCAAAGAGTTATATTTTCAAATTTTAGAATTATTTTTTTATTATATTGTTTATAAGTGGCCAGTTCTAAGAACTTTCAGTTTGACCCTCGTAATAATTGTTTGCATCTTTTTAGTTATTAATATGAAAGCCAGTTGTGAACCATGCCAGTGTTTTACTAATTTTTTAGTTAATTTGTTAATTTGTAAATGGGATGTACGGCCAGTGAAATATGACGCTCAAAATTATAACGTACAAAATAATTTTAGACGGAACAATGTATTATATTATTAGTAAGGTAAATATGTGTGTATCATCTATTAAGTATTTATTTCTTTAGTATTTAGGCCAGTTTCGTTTTCAGTCACTTTTTTTATTTAATTGAATATTGTCCTAAGTATATTAGATTTCGTTATTGTAATGTTTAGTGTTATGTAAGCTTGTGTGTTACTATATTGTTGGTTGTTTTAGAGATTTTTAATAATTTTTAGACATTCCTTTGAAATGATGTTCATTCCATTATTTAGATTTTTTTTAAGTATTATCACAAATATAAGACGTTGTCTTTCTCAAATAGCGTAATAAGGTACCGAGATATATATATTTTTTAAAATTCCATTACCTTTTTTTCTATCAATTTATACTCAATTTATATATTTAGCATTTCAAGTTTTTCCTATTGAAAATGAGGTGCCATTAGTTTCGGATTAAACTTAGAAACAAATTGTATTTGGTTACATATAAAATATAGGTCCTTACTAAAATATACTGTCACAAGAATAACATAAAAAATGCATAAAAAACCGATTCCATTGTAATAATTGTAATTGTCATAAGTTACAAACCGACGAATTTCAATTGCTTTGTTAAGATGATATATTCCATATATAATTTTATTAGATAACTAGCTTTCCCCAGCGGCTTCGCCCACGTGGACCCTAGGGAAATGTTTAGTGGGATAAAAAGTATCCTATTATCTGAGTCAGCTAATACCCTATCTGTATACCAAATTTCATCAAAATCCATTCAGTAGTTTCGGCGTGGTTGACCGACAAACATCCAAACAAAGAAACTTTCACATTTATAATATTAACAGATCAATAAGAATAAATTAAAGTTCTAAGATAGACCAATTTTTGCCCTTCAAAATTTTCCTTACCTAATATTAGATAGGTATGGTAAATGGTGAATTAGGACCTAATATTATAAGTAACCATTGTTCGACGTGCCAATCGTCTTTTGTGTTAGTAAAATAACTTTTTGATGATAAACTAACTGACTTTTGTCAGTTAGTGATTTTTGTTATCAGTGTGATACGATATTTTTATGTATGTGTTTTTTACATTTTTAAATAAATCTTAATATATTTGAGAATTAAAAATAAATGAGAGTGCCTTTATATACAGCTTCGTTTTATTTTATATCCATTATTTTAGTAACTAAACTAGCATCTAATATAAATAAATGTAATAAAAGCAATATATATTTACTTTTATTACATTTATTTACAGTGGATCATTACTCATTTATATTGTATATGAGATTAATATGTGTGACAGTATTTAGCTATCGCACTTATAATACCGAAAAATGTACGTATTGAGTGAAACCTTTATTAGAAGAGTTATTGACACTGAGCTAATCTAAATTGTAACTATATAAAATTGAAATTTATTGGTATGAACTAGTCATATTTATTATCAAAGTAAGGTCACTCACACACTAATCTAAAAAGACAGCTTAACTAGGATAAGCCCAATCTTACGAATTGCCTAAACAGATTAGTTTATTTCCAAACAATCATTTTTTTATTTTATTTCACGACACATTTGTGACATGGCATATTATGTAAATGATTGGTACTTAATGATGTTAGGTGGTTTCTAGTCATTGGTGAAATGCATTTTCACCTTAGGCGATTCCTAAAGTCTAGTTTAAATGGGAATTAGACACTTAATTATTTGATAAATATATAAACACAACTCTAGATACACATTCCAAAGAAATGGAACTACTTTTTTTGTAAATATTTGCTCAACTTGACAAACTGCACGCACGTAATAACGAGACGACAAATACATTTATTCAAATAAGCATCCTATGCGACTCGTTCGCTTCGAGTACTCATTTAAATATTATACATATTCATTTTTAAATCAAACATTTCTCAAGATTATGTTTAATTTTTTTCCTTTCCTTATGATAGATGCGTTCAAGTCTGGTCCACTTAACATAAAAAGAAATAACTGTTACCCAATTGTGAGCTCAAACGAGTTGAAGATAAAGATTAGAATTACAGTAAGTATCGAAACGAAAGCTGGTGACATAAGTGATGTGATGTATAATCGAGTTCAAAATCTATTGCATAATTCAGTTCAAATGCTACCGTGAACTACCGTTTGAAAGTCTAGTAGCCATTTGACGAGGACACGCCGACTGTATGGTTATAATCGTGTCAAATCGAATAATGATTACGAATAATCGTCAAGCTCTTGAAACTGGCGTGAACACTCAATCGATGGACTAAGTACCAACTGGTTACGCAAAAGGAGTATTACGCTGTGATTTAGTGTTAAGTGATCTTTATATAGTTTCCCATCATTTCTATTTCTTATCTGTTTATAGATTTTAATAGCTTTTAATAATGTGTCTTGGATGTGTATTTCACGTGGTTTTCTGATTTTGCTGTTATTAGTAGTTGTTAATATATATAAAAGCGAAAGGTCACTTACTCACTCATCACGAAACCTCAGAATCTACAAGTGCTTTTCTGTGAGTGAAACTACAAGTTTCAAATTTTGCATGCGGGTTCGTTCTGAAAAGAATAAAGTTATATATTATGGGTTATACAATTTGGAAATATATTTAAAAGTCAAGAAACTAATTATAAGGTCTACAGTATATCAGACTACACAAACTATCGATTTTCTTTTATTGATTTTAAATTTGCATCAATTAAGAGTAGGGTTCAAAATCAATTACGGTAATTTGACATGTTGCGGTAATCCGATGTGGTGATGTGTGTACATGCAATGAACCAAAACAGTAAGCTATTAAAAATAATTACTATCAGAAACAACAAAACAGAGACTTTAAATATAACCTACTTGCACTAATAAGGTTCTGGTCCAATAAAACCTTAACAGTTTTAATTGATCTTATTATATTAACCAGCCTGATTCTGACACTGACAGTATGTCGAGTATCACTCAAATGTCGTCTTTAATTTTTCACTACCAAAGTTTAAATTGTATTTAACAAAAGAGCGGACGATATTCGACAAAATTTTTGTCACTCAATTTAATTGGAGTAATGTCGCAGTAAGAAGTAACAAATCATTATTTTTTTCAAAATGGCTGCGGCGTTTGGTCGCTGCCCGGTACAGTCGAGTGGAGTGTTTACGCGAGCGAAAAGAAATGTCGCTCGTTAGCGGAATAATGGGAGCTTTGCATTATTGAGATGCGGACAGTTGCTATATAAAGTGTTTTCTCAAATTTTACATTTCACAACTTCAAAATTATTTTTTGTCTAAAGTACTTCATCAAATTACTAAGCTACCGAAGCATTGCTTTTATTGTCGAAATTCTGAATCCAATTTTTTCCAACGAATAAGGCGAATTTTTTTATGTTAATAACATACAATCTAATATAACATAATATTTTCATAACAGTAAGATTACTCTCGGAAAAAGGATATAGTTATGAATCAAATGCAAGAATTTTGCTTTTAATTTTTTATTTTAGCCGATTCGTGATGGAAAAGTTTTTTAGATAGGTAATATTAATTTAATTTCGATGTTTCAAAGTGACTAATTAACAACGAAATATCATAAACCGTGCTAAATTTAATTAAAGTACTTTAACTACTTAATTTTACTAAGAACTACTTGATATCCAGTAATCTGCAATTTGGTTAGAAATTTTTTACATGTTTCCAAGTGTTAAATTTTTTACATGTTTTCATACGCCGTTTTAAATGTGACCTGCGCGGGAAAACTGTGCAAATAAGTATAATAACAAATACTTCACGCTGTGACTGTACCGTCGAAAGTCCAGTGTACACTGGCAATTTTAACGAGGAAATATATCGTACTAATTGAGATTGCACCATGAGCCAGTCGTCCAAAAAATCGCACCATTACAACCAAAGATGGCGCAGATTTATTGAGACGTCCGCGGGATAGACAGCTCGAAATGGGAGCACTGGGGGCCAATTCTACTAAATAAATTTTGTTTAAATCGAATCGAAAACGGATCGAAAACAGATCGAAACCGAACGAAACTACAGTTTTTAATGATTTTTCTATTCTACTAAGTGACATACGATACAATTCCAGCTAAAATAGAATTGGAATTGTATCGTATGTCACTTTGTAGAATAGGAAAACCATTAAAAACTGTAGTTTCGTTTAGTTTCGATCCGTTTTCGATTCGATTTAAAAAAAAAATATTTTGTAGAATTGGCCCCCAGAGCATTGGACTTTTTTTCGGCGAACGTATAAACAAAAATGTTAACAGTTCAATGTGATCATTTGTATGAGTGAAATTTTTCAATGAATCAAAATCAACAACAATAACATCGAGTTGAAACTCTTTCATATAAAAAAGTATATAATAGGAGAATACTTAGTAAAGGGTGTAATAGAATATCCCTGTATATTTTATTTGATATTGCGCTGTAAGACAGTTTTTTTGTTACTATTACGATTATTGTACGAGCTACATAATTTCCTCGGCTGCAAAGAGACTCAATATATTTACCAATTTTTACTATAGCACAAAGGTTCAAAGTCTTTATTCACTGGAGTCATGTATCGGTTCTCTTCGGGTCTCTTTACTGGTAACCGGTACCAACCATCTTCAAAATTAAAATAATTAACGAAGATAAGTGTCAACGAACGGACTTTATTGGTTGTAAGGCTATTGGGTTTACTTACAATGTATTGTAGATGTGGATTATGTACTCAAAACGATATCGTTATCCTTGTGTTATCATTACCTTGATTTGTATAATAAATAAATGAATTGTACCTATGGCAAGAAAAAGCTAATTGTATAAATCTCGATATAAATCCACCTAATAGATAATTATTTTTGCATATCCGAACGAAAATTTAGTTCGTGATGTCTCGCATTGCTTGTTATTGAAAATAGATTATATTAAAAGTTCGATTTGTAACATGTCGGACGTTTTTATGGTTCACTACTTTTATTTATTGCTAATATGCCTATCTACTGTGAAAACTGATTGAATCTTACACAATAGTAGTCCAATTTATAATTCTTCCTTCTTTGAAAATGTACGCTTACTCATTGGTCCCGGTTGCAATTCCTGTTATATTACATTAATAGGTTTGTGCCGCATTAATCTTTTCTATGGATAGAATCGAATCAAATAGGGAAAATGATTGACCGACCACGAAACTTAATGCTCATTGGTGGATGTCAACAGCTAAGGCAGCCTGTAATAACGATTCAACGTGCCTCCTGAAGCAAAAATATGATAATATTTTTTTGGTCACCTATCTTAAGACTGACCCTTGCGAATAAGTAAGTAACGTTACTTACTTATTGTTGTAAGGGGCTTATGCAATTCCCTGAGGAACTGTAGTCACTGCGACCTTGAAGATCGATTATGACTCCCTTGAACGTTGCTTAACTTATGATTCTGATCAACTTGAAACTGATTACCTACCTGTCGTTTGAACTTGGTTAATTTCTCATCATAAAATTTACACATTTGAAATGTTTATAGAGCATACGTCTCATAAATCTCCATCAGAATAGAAGATAAAAAGGTAACTTATTTTATTATTGGGTAGGTAGGTATATATTTTGTTTAGATGATCTTGACATATTTTTTTCATATTGCGCTAATATGATTCGTGAGTTAGGTATATAAACTAAAAACGGCATGACGCAAATCCGTTTATTTTTAGAACTATTGATATAATGATTTGGTGTGAAGTTTGTGATTGACCGATGATTAGGTAAAGTTAACAGCATACCAGGCATTTAACATAAGAGGTTTTCAACGCAATCAAAACTTTTGCATCGCATTTGACGTTTCATAGTAAATCCTCAGGTGGTACAAAACTACAACATTATAACCGCTATTAAAGAGATACTAAGAATGAAAAGCAAAGCGAAACGAAGCTCACACTTTTCTGAGTTCAAAAGAAAGTTGTTCTTGTTAATTCAAGGTTTTTTTGGTATAGTGTATATATGCTGCAGAAGTTTGTAATTTGTTTTAAGTTACCATTATCTAAAATGTTTGCATATTCGCACTAGAAACTTAACGTGCACTATACCTACTATCCGCCACCCAATCAGATAGTGGGATCGGCGCCGGAGCATCCCTACAAGCGTATCTCGATCGGAGCGCCACCTAGCGCGTTATCGACGAGATTTATGCAGCAGGCTCGAGATGTTTTGTCTTCGCTAATTTTGGTATGGAACGTTCAGTGTGAGTATGTGGTTTGAGTCTAGATCTTCCGCTTGAGATCGCCGTTGACAATTTATTGAGAGTTTCCATATTGCATATATTTACATAAAGTAGAAACGTACCTAATTTATTTATCTGTGCGATTTAGTTCTGTCAATCTTGAGGCGTGGAAATCGAAAAAG